CCAGTGTTGCAGCAGTAGAAAAAAAAATCTCATGAAAGTAACAAACTGCTTTTTGTTTGGATTTAAAGCCCACTGCAGCAGATGGAGCCCCCCACTTGACACTGCTAAGGTGGCCAAAAAAACTGAGAATAGGTCTGTCATAGGCCTTCAAGGAAAACGTACTACTATCATTCTACTGAAGGAACATAAAATGATGCATCGTTGTATCTGTATACCATTGCCTCACTCAACCCTTATCGGAGAAGATTCTTCTTGCAGGAGATGAGAATTAACAGAGACCCACAACTGGACGATGTGCAGAGAGAGACTATGGTGCACTCAGCCCTAAATGAAATGTTCAAATTTTGAAATTATATGTGTATGTATTAATAATAAGTACACATAAATTGTACAATATCTAGCAACATTCAAAAATTAAAAAAAAAATTAACAGAAACTAGCAGAACCGAAAGTTGCTTCACAAGCAATAACAACAAAATAAGAAGTTGTTGTCATTCAAAGTATGGCGCACATGCTAGAGTGGATGGCATGAAATGATTTTGAAAAAGAGCCACCAAGCAAGATGGACATTGCTCTTTAGAGGCACTGCTGGGTGTGAGCATTGTTCCTCATCAGTGTTTCTTAAGAAGAACAAAACTAAAGGAATGGGAAAATACCGAGTTAAAATAGGAACTATGGAGTTCCTTTATAAAAAGAAAAGTTCATTAGCAAATCATGGACTATTATATGCTATGAAAATACAGAGCAGAAAAGGTAAACAGATCGATAACAAAAGCCCCTGTCAGGACCTGTATATTGCCATGAGCATTCAACACAAGAAGACAAAGCAGCAGGATTTGAGGGACAGAAGGCTTGACAGGGCACAGGGGTCTTTCATGAGACTGTTTCTCCAACCAAGGACCATGTATGGATATAATCTAGAACTCCTGCTCAGATATAGCCCATGGTAGCTCAGTGTCCAAATGGGTTCTCTAATAAGGGGAACAGGGACTATTTCTGACATGAACTCAATGGCGAGCTCTTCCACGCCCCCCTCACAAGGGAGGAACAGCCTTGCTAGGCCACAGAAGAGGACATTGAAGCCAGTCCTGAAGAGACTTGATAAGCTAGGGTCAGGTTAGTGGATTTGGAAAAGGGCAAGGAGAAGATAAGGGTAGGATTGGGAGGAAATGAGGGAGGGGCTATGGCTAGGATACAAAGTAAATAACCTGTGATTAATATAAAAAATAAACAAATTAAAAAAATAAAAATAAATAAAAGTGGAAAAATAAAAAAAAAGAAGGCTTGACAGGGTATTCTCTGCAGAGTGGCTACTCTTGATGTGAACAGGCAGTAAGGTCAGAGAACCATCTGGTATGCCTTCTTGATGAACCCGGAGGATGAAAATGGGATGTAAAGTGGATTTAGATCACAGACATCAGGAACTCGTTCACCTTTGTTTGTTTTTCCTTTTGTGTTTATGTGTTTTAAGGGAAATAGTGGTAAAACATTTATGTATAAAATAAAACCAATCAACTAGGAGTTGATAGAGCAGAACAGGAAATAAATACCAGAAGTCCTGACGCCATCTGGATGATACAATGGAAGCAGCCATGTCTACACATATGGATCTTGAGAGACATTCAAATTACATCCAACCATACTTTTTTCCCCTCACTTTATTTTGTTCACTGATACATAAATTGTGACCTGTGTGTATGTGGGGAGGGGTACCTGTTTAAGGCATGGTAAGCATATCTATCTCTTTAAAGGTACATCAAATATATGCCATTTCTTTTCGGCAAATACAAGACTAACCCTTCTAATTCTGTTAAATGTACGGTCCATTATTGTTATGCGTAGTCAGCCTACTGAACGAGAGCACCCCAGAACTTCCTGTTCTTCCCTGTCGCTTCGCACCCAGTTATCAACCCTTCCCCATTCCTTCTGCCCCTGCCCTGACTCCCCAGGCTATGGCATTCTTCTATGGTGCTTGTCATTCTGTGCTGGTTTATTTCGCTTAACACAGTGACCCCCGGTTTCATCCACACTGTCACAGGTGACAGGACTCCACCCCTTTGTGTGTCTGAGTACGTATTCCCTGATATAGAGGTGCCATATTTTCTGTATCTATTTATCAATGGCAGGCTCTTATGCTTTCAGCTGCTGTAAGCTGCACAAACATGGGAAGGCAGATTCCTTTTCAATATACTGATTTCCTTTCCTCTGGATAAATATGTGGGGGCAGGATTGCCAGATAGTGTGGTAGTTCTATTTTAATTCTTTTGAAGAGCTTCCATACTGTTAGCCATAATGGTGACATTAATCGACATCCTTCTGGACCTGTGGTCTGGCAGGGTCCCTTTTCTCCACACCCTCACCAACATTTGTTATTTTTTTGTCTTTTGGGGGAAAGTCTGTCCTACAGGAGTAAGGTAATATCTCACTGTGGTTTTGCATCTCTTTGGAGTTAGTGATAGCGAACATTTTCCATGTGTTCCTTGGTTATCTGAACGTCTTCTCTTAAGAAATGTCTATTAAGCTGGGCACTAGGGTGCGCGCCTGTAATCCCAGCACTGGGGGAGGCAGAGGCAGGTGGATCTCTGTGAGTTGGAGGCCAACCTTATCTACAAAATGAGTACAGAAGAGCCAAGGCTACACAGAGAACCCCTTATAAAACAGAAACAAACAAACAAGCAAAAAAGAAATAAAGGAAGGAAGAAAGGAAGGAAGAAAGGACTCATCATGACTGCCTGGATCGTCTTCCTCTGTGGCCTGGCAAGGCTGCATCTCCAGGGGCGAGTGATCAAAGAGCAGGCAAAGGCTGCCCCTGCTCCCCTTATTCGGGAATCAACATGTAGACTGAGCTAAGCTGCCAATCGGCTACACCTGAACAGGAGGTCTAGGTCCTCTCCATCCATGGTCCTTGGTTGGTGCATCACTTTCTATAGGACCCCTTGCTCAGGTATTTTTAGCTTTGTTGGTCTCCTTGTGGGGCTTCTGTCCCTCTTGATAAGCTATGGACAGATGACAGAGGATAACTCCCCCTTTCAGTGGACTAGGGGAAGGGGGTGGGGGAAAGAGGGAGGGAGGGTGGGACTGGGGGGAGTTGAAAGAGAGGCTCCAATCGGATATATAATGAATAAAATGTCAAAAATAAAATTCGTGAGAAAAAAACAGCAAAAAAAAGTAACATCAAATAATAAATTCCTTCATTGAAAAAAGAAGAAAGAAATGCCCGTCTAGAAGATGTTGACCATTTATGAGTTGTATTGCTTGGATTTGCTTACTGAGATTTATAGTTGCTAATATGTACTGAATGATGCCCTCATAGCAAACACATAGTATAGAATCATTTCTCCTATTGTTGTGATGATGCCCTCATAGCAAACACATAGTATAGAATCATTTCTCCTATTGTTGTGGGTCATCTCTTTGCTCTGAGAATTGTTCCCTTTGCTGTGTGGAAGCTGCTTAGTTTGATGAAGTCTCATTCAACTGTAAAGCTGTTTTCTCTACATTTAGAGTCACATCCAAAAAGCTCTTGTCTATTCCAATGTCCAGAAATGTGTGTTCCCTTGTTTTTGCAGTTGCTTTCAGATCTTATTTTTTTTCTTTAGTCTATTATGAGTTGAATATCTGTAGATGTTGAGAGGTAAGAATCGAATTTTCATTCTTCTGTATGTGGATAACCCATTTTTCCCTATACCATTTAGTGAGAAAATCAGCTGATTATAGATGCACAAGGTTACTTTTATTCTGCCTCATTACTCTGCATGCTTTATATCCATACTGTCCTGTATTGACTAATACAGCTTTGTAGTATATTCTGAAGCTGGATACTGCAAAGCCTCTGCCCTTCCATTTTCTCATGTTTGCTTTGGAGATATCTGTCTATCTATCTATCTATCTATCTATCTATCTATCTATCTATCTATCATCTATCTATCTATCTATCTAACTAACAAATTACAAATTTTAGGATTTTTTTTTTACAGTCCTGTGGAAAGCCTGCATTGACATTTTGAAGGGAATGTCCTTAGATGTGCAGATTGCTTGCTCTATTATGCATATTTTATGATACTCATTCTTCTGGGATCACAGGTTCTCTTTCTGGTTTCTTGTATCCATCTCAACAACTTTCATCAGTGTTTTACAATTTTCATTGTGTAGAGCTTTTACCTTTTGCTTAAATGTATTGCTAACTACTTAATCTTTGTAGCCTCTGTGAACAGCACTGCAGCAATATTAATTTTGCATATCAGTTTTCCACTCCCCTTGTTATTGTTTTACCATATAAACATGCAGTAAAAAGTATACTAGAGGGCTGAGGAGATAGCTCAGTCAGTAAAGTATTTGCCATGCAAGCGTGAAGACCTAGGTCAGATCTCCAGAACCTACATAGAAGCCAGATGCGGCGGTGCACATCTGTAATCCAAGCATGGAGCAGGGGAGACAGCTGGATCCCCAGGGCCTCCTGGCCAAATTGTCTAGTCAATTGGTGATCTCTGGGCTCAGTAAGAGACAGTGTCTTAAATAAATAAATAAATAAATAAATAAATAAATAAATAAATAAATAAATAAATAAATCAAAGGTGGAAAGCAACAGAGGAAAACACTTGACCTCTGACCTCCACCAGCATGTGCGTACACACACACACACACACACACACACACACACACACACACGTGAATGTGTTTGTGTACTCAGAGACACATACTCACACACATATACACACACAAAAAGGGAAAATAAATTAGGCATCACTTCTAAGTCAGGAACAGAATCATAAATTCCAGGATAGATTACTGTCAGTCACTTGCTAATCTCAGAAAGAAGGGACTAAAGACAGGAAGAAGATAAGGAAAGGGGGAGATGGATGAAGAAGAGAGAGGAAGGGAAGGGAGAGGAGGTGAGGTGAGGGGCTCTCTGTGTAGTGAAAACTCGGCCTTGGAGAGGAGCTGTCCTGGCCAGGCTGGCCTGCGCATGCTCCGTCTGACCTGCACCCCTCTCACTGCAGTGCTCTGTCACCTGCGGCGTTGGGTTCCAGAGAAGAAAGCAGGTGTGTCAAAGGCTGACCGCCAAAGGCCGGCGTGTTCCCCTGGGTGAGGTGCAGTGCAGGGGCCTGCCAGGGCTGCTCCTCGTGAGACCGTGCCAGATGGCCGTGTGCCGCGGTAAGTGTGCCGCGCGTCCGTGCTCTAGCGTCGGCCCTTTTCCTTTTCTCTCCTTTTCTTTCCTCTTCTCTTCTCTTCTAGTCTCTTTTTTCTTTTCTTTCCTTCCCTTTCCTGCCCTTTCCTTTTCTTTTCTTCTTTCTTTCTTCCTTTCTTTCTTGAGTATCACTGTAACCTTTATCAAATGTATTTAATTGTACATTTCCCCTATTTATTTATTCACTTGATGACCTGATCCCAGCCCTCTCCCTCTTCTCCTCCCAGGCGCACACACACACACACACACACACACACACACACACACACACACACACACACACACACACACACCCTCACTGCCTCTTCTTCTCCTCAGAGCCTGACCAGGGGAAAGGGAGCCAGAGGCAGGCATCAGAGTCAAAGTCAGCCCCTGCTGTCTTCTCTTCCTTTGCATCCCTCAGCCCCTCTCAGCTCCGAGGTGGAGAGCCACCCAAACAAAACTCCAACTTGCTTTTAGTGGTGAATGGTAGACCTAGAAAACATTTTAGGGAAAATCTGTCTTAAGGAATGTCTGCTCATAACTGTCCTTGTAGGGATTAGGCTAAATTGCTCCTTGGCTTTCTTTGCCAGAAATGTATCTGTATTCACAATATTAAAACTGGAAGAGCTGAACATTTGATAAGAAGTACTTTCATGGATTTTTTTTTTAATTCTGTATAATTCAAAACCAGGTAGTATAAAAAACATGCTTTACATAAATGGCAGTTTGGATGTCTTGCCAAATAATTATAAATCATAAGCTTGCTATGACGTCAATAGCATGCCTTCGTGCTACTTAAAGCTGATCGTCATGAAGCATGTCAGTGTACATGAGAGGATTATATCTACACGTGTGTGTATGTGGCACGTGGGAGGAGCACAACCAGTGAAATTAGGACTGTCATGGCAGCAGCCACAAACAGCAACAGTCAGGTGACAGTGAGAAGGGGTCCCCACGGTAGCAGCTTCTGGGGCGTTCCTGCTTTTCTTTGTATTGTCTTCATTCCCCTATAAAAGAGCACACAGATATGTCAGGGAGCCCCACTGAGCTCACCTGTAGTGAGAAAACAAAATAAAAAATAAACTATTGTTATTTTGCTGTTGCAAGTGTGTTTGTGTGTGTGTGTGTCCTTAGTTTATTGATATTTTTCCTGGAGAAATTAACAAAACAAAGCAATGCAAGCACTGACTGCGCTTGCAAGTCTCACTGAAAAGCAGTGAGACTTGTGGATGCCCTTCCACAGAAAGAACCTCTCATGCTTACCTCAGTTAGTCTCCCTGGCGATGCTGAAAGTCAGACATTACCCTCCTTTAGAGAGAAGGCATGCAACACTGAAGCAAGGCCTGAGTTTTCCTCTAGACTCCAGGACTGCCAGTTGGACCCTTTGGCCTGTTTGACCACAAGTCTGTCTGACTCTTGAGCCCACGCTCTTAGCTGCTGATTCATGGACACTAACGTTTTTCTCCCTGGGAATACTTTGAGAATATATTTTCAAAATCTTGACATCCTAAAACCCTGAGATTCCAAGTTTTAAAGCCTTTTGGAAATCAGGAATGTCTGCGGTAAATGGCACAGTGTGGTGTTTGTTTTAGTCACTTACCTACCCGATTTTTATCAGTGAGTAGGCTGTAAAGTGCCTTAGAGAAAAGGGAAATGAATGTCATAGCCAGCAGCCTCCTTGAAAATAGACAGAATACCACATGGGGATACATTGCGGTCATCGGGACTCGAGATAGACGGAATTGGATTATCAATCATTATGGCATTCAGGGGAGGGAAGAATTTCACAAGCATTAGGGAGGAAAACCAAACAAGAAAAATCAAGCATTTGTCTTAACCCTAGTGTAGTCCCTGGCCGGTTGACCGTGTAGGCCGTAAAAGCAACAGGAGACAGAATGACCCTCACAACAGCCAGCCACCCTGAGCTGGCCTGCAGTTCTGCCACTGTCTGCCCTCAGACCATCACCTCTCATAGATGGCGCTTGCTTAGCCAAGCTTGATCTGCTCCCTCTGAACATTGTCTCTCTCCAGCATTGCATCTAGGGCCAGGGGAAGAGCAGTGCATGCACTCTCCCAGCCTCTTCTCTATTGCTTCTGTCTTTTCTCCCCTCCTACGTATGCCATATTAAGCCTTCTCTTCAGACATTATAAGACTCACTGTGTAGGTCTTCAAGAGACTTTCTGCTTTACTGTAGTACACAACCTAGGTCCTATCATCCTTACCAACATTTGCCAATACACAGGGCAATCAAGTTCCTTATTGGTGGCCTTTTTGATACTTAATATCCCCATTTCCCAACCTCAGCTGTTCCTCCGTGCCATCACCATGGTGGGCTGACACTGAAACTTCCTGCTCTTGTGACTTATTCGGTTAATGCCTCACTGTGCCCTCGGGAGCTTTCATAGATCCCTGTTAGTTCCCAACCTTCTGCTTTTGAACTAGAAATCAGTCCATTTAGCTGGCTGTTCTGGTCATCTGCTTCATCAACACCATTGCCTGATGTATGCCTTTCTCTAACCTACTGTTCACCTTAACCTTAGAACTACTTTTAAGTGACTTTCTTGTCTGCTTTTGGTTTCCTGGCTTGAGTTACTGGGATTTAGAAGAATAAATAATGTGACCCTGCCAGTGAGGCAGGCATGTTTATGCTGTCTAAAATAAGCTGGGCGATAGGGTGGACACCCCACATTTACTGAGAAATCGCTAGAAATTCTCCAGAGCGGCTGCTTTCCCATGACCACGCTGCCGTTTGGTTGTGAGTGAGCCCATCTTTTACCCACTGGGAACAGTGAGGCCGCATTGGCACAACGTCCTTTTGACGTTCTTCCTTCTTTCACATCAGATCTACTCTTGCTCCTTCCCCCAAACTGAAAAATATCTGATCTTACATAAGCTTGGCCTCTCCATAATTGAAGACTAAGGACAAGGAACGCCAAGCCGAGCTATGCTGTGGCTCCTCATGAGACACTGTCTTTACAATATCTGCACTGAACGGTGTGCCGGGTTTAGGTAAAATGCATGTTCTTGAAGATGCTTGCTTTTTCTTGCACTTTGTTTTGACCATTTTGGTGTGCAGCAGGGTTGGAGATGGGTAGGAAGGATTTTCTGTGTAGTGCAGTTTCACTGGAGCTTCTGGACCCCTAAACATTCCCCACAAGGCACCCCCTCAGGCCCCTTAAAAGTCCCAATTCTTCATGTCACCGTATCTATCAGCTGATGCTGTTTTCACCTTAGGACAACCCACACCCTTACCTAGTGTTTCTGAATTTGCAGTTTGAGCCTAGCCCTGTTTGTGAACTCTTTATAGTCAGTCATTCATGATCTTCAGGACAAGGTTGTGAGGCAGGGACAGCCACTGTTTCTAATTTTTTAAGAAAGAGACTTGCCAATGTCACATGGTGAGGCACTCGGAGACCTAGGCTCTGAACTCAAGTGAGTTACTCATGGCCAAGGTCAGAAATAAACACAACTGAGAAGAGCTTATTAGGGAAGGAAGGATTGTGGGTAAGAATCCAAAAGAGAAGGTGATGAATTTACCATTAGAGGTCACTGGTCACCTTTTCCTTAGAAAAGTTTTAGTTTAGTTTAGAAAAGTTTCCTTAGAGTTTTAGTGTGATGATAGGAACAGAAGTTGGGCTGGAGTTGATTAAAAACTAAAAGAGAAACAAATAAGTATGAGCTATTCTTTCAGGCTGATTTGGGCCATTCCATAGTAGTGGGGTCTCAGGAGAATCTTAACTCATTTAGAAAGCCCCACCCACAGTATCCCTATGGCCTCTAATAAGTAACTGCCAAAGAAGCCTGGCAAGAGTCCAGAAACAAACTCTCCACATTCTTGACAGAGCTTCAGATGAGCTTGTCCTGCTGGATCCCATGCCTAGTGGAAGGAGAGGGAACCAGTACTAGTCAAATGGCCAGAGTGACAGCTGGAGTCTAAGAGGGCTCCAGCAGGGTGAGAGAAAGGTTTTAAGGGCCGAATCATGGCCCAAGTGCATTAGGAAGTGTCAAGAGTCAAACGCTGGCAGAACCAAGTGTAAATTTCAGCTAAGATGGCATGGGACATAAATCTGGCGTGTTCCTGGGGTTTAGAGTCATGGCAGGGATACAACAAATAGATAGGACAGGAAGTTACTGGGGCATGTGCTGTAAATATCATCTATCACCTGGAGTTGGCCTTTATATGAGGCTCACTCAAAGACCCAGAAGGAGGACATAGAGAAGAAAGGGATTTTTTTTTTAAGAAAATCCAAAGATGTTATTCTTCTCACACCCTGAAATAATGGGACAGGTAGAGTGATGGGCTGGTACCATCACACAGAAGCTCCTCCAAAAGGATGCTGTCTATCCCTGACCACTCTATAGAGTAGATGGTAATGGCCTGGTTTCACTGGGCTTGGCCAGTGTTAGAGTGTTGTATAGTTCCAGATGTGAGAGAGACAGAAAGCCCAAAGCACATCAGCCTCTCCCCACCTCCGTCTTAGGAAAGGACATGTATGTGGCAGGGCTTGAGCAGGAAGCTCACAGACAGTCTAGATGCTCTTTCTTATTTCCCTTCTCTCCTCACTAGTAGCGGCTCATCAGCTGTCACTGAATAGAAGAAACTGGGCCAAGAGTGCCTTTTTCAACCATGTTGGTTTAATCCAGCAGTACACTGCAAGGCATCTGTCCTCAAGCTAGTTGAGCATTTACGTCAGCTGAAAAGCTTTCTAAAACTCTGATGCCTTAACTGCACCCCATAAATTAGAATGTCTGGCAGTAGAAACAAGAGTACTGAGGTGAGTTAATAGCCAGCATCTGCTTTGTTGATGGGGTCCCCTGCGGTGCTCATTAAATCCTTCAATCCATCACCCATAGGGTGAGAGACTATGAAACCATGAGGGAAGCTTCTCTACCTTTTTGCTTTTGTTTCCCATCATTGTTAAGGGGCAGTAAGTTCAAAACTTATGTTGTCAATCATAAAAAAAAAAATCTATATTCCTTTTTTGGCTATGGCCAGTTTGACATCCTCTGTGGACACTATTTCATCCCTGGGAGGAAGCATAGAGGCATGTGTGTGCATGGTGTTGCATAGAGGTGAGCTGAGGGTCTTGGACAGAACCAAGGCCATCTTGAGATCAGTAGGCCTGAATTCTTACTTGGCTCTGCATGGATTTTGCACGTCAGTTCTCTACTACAGAAATAACGGTCCTTACGAACCCACTCATGGCCACCCACGGGACGCCAGAAGTTATTCTTATGAACCAACAGCCCCAAAGGCACCTTACAGTTTGTCCCAAGGATATGAAAAGGCCATATTCTTGGATGATTTTTCACCCAGAGTGACTCTGCCAGGGCTGGTAATAGGGTAATAGCTTTGAGTAAACCAGTTTCAAGATCTCCTGAATGTCGCAACGCCTTTGAGTGAGTTCAGACTCGCTGCCACCACTTGCGCAAGCTTGCTAGCCCTACATCCCACACCCTGTCATCTGCCCAGGGACTAACATATCAGACTTCCTCCAACATCACCCCAGAGTACCGGAGTTTCCCCTCAGGAAAACAAGGGTGAAAGCTGCTATCTTAGGGGACAGGTTTGGGGTTGTATCCCCTTTGGTCTCAACCCATTAACTAGAGTCAGTGTCTGGGACTAAATGAGGCTCAGTCCCAACTCTGGGTTCTGGGCTACCTTTGCCATCTGGCTGGTAGTTGAGGGCAGTAAATACAAGAGCTCATGTGTGCTTGCTACTGGGAGGTACATGTAGTCTAAGGAAACGGACTTAACTGTCACACTCCTCTGATGAGAATCTTAACATCGTTCTCATTTTGAAGGTAGGACAGAGGAGACTCATGGAAACTTAATGGCATATTCTTCAGGCAGAGTCAGGATTCAAACTCAGAGTCATCTGGCTATATTTAAAGTGCCTGTTCTATTACACCATTCTGATTTTGAACATACTCCTTTACTTTCTCAGACCCCCGAGGTCATTTAGATGACATATTTGGGTTAGATTCAGAACTTGGCCCACCCCACCCTCCTTTTCAGACCTTGGAAATGTATTCACTCATCCTCTCTCACATCTTCCTCAGATTTGGTGTACCTGTGGTCCAAACTAACCCACTGACGGCCACCCTGACACTTAGTGGATGGCCAACATCCTGCAGGAGCTTCCTGTTGATAGTGACTTGTACCTAGCCACTGGGGACTAGTCAAGCCATCCAGCACTCCATTGTGGTATAGAACAAACATTTGTCAGCTAGAGAAGTAACCTTCCCTTCGGTCTCATTGAATCATTTAACCGCACGATTCCCAAACCCAGGCTTCAGGAAATAACTTACATATTTTTAAGTGACATGTTCAAACATGCATTCATCCTCACTAAAGTAACAGACAGCTGTTACTTTAGTATGGATGTAAGATATTTCTCACGTTTTAATTCTCACATTTTTTGAATAATTAAAAGAGAGAGAAAGAGGCATTAGTAGGCCCAGATCACTCAGCCTCAGAAATTTTCAATCAATAACCCTTGTATGGGAGCAGTTTCTTGCAATTTCCTTCCTTTTCTTTTTCCCCTGCAGAAGCAAAACTCGGGGCAAAGACAAGACTTGGAGAGCGGGGTCCCCAGATCCTTGGTGTCCAGAGAGTGTATATTCAGACGAGGGAGGAGAAGCGGATTAACCTGACCGTGGGCAGCCGAGCCTACCTGCTGCTTAATACGTCTGTGATCATCAAGTGCCCTGTTCGGCGTTTCCAGAAATCTCTGATCCAGTGGGAGAAGGATGGCCGTTGCCTGCAGAACTCTAAGCAGCTTGGCATCACCAAGTCAGGCTCGCTGAAAATCCACAGTCTTGCAGCCCCTGACATCGGCGTGTACAGATGCATTGCCGGATCTGCACAGGAAACGGTCGTTCTCAAGCTCATCGGGACTGACAACAGACTCATTGCACACCCGTCCCTCAGAGAGCACCTGCGGGGCCACCCTGGGGTAGACCACAATGAAGCCAACAGTTTGGGAGCCACGTGGCATAAAATGCGCCAGATGTGGAATAACAAAAATGAGCTTTACCTGCACGATGGTGAAATCAATAACCAGCCTTTCTTGAGAGCTCTGTTGGGGCCATGCAGGAACTCTGCAGGAAACGCTAACTTCTGGGAGTTCAAGAACAAGCAGTTTGAAGCAGCCATGAAACAGGGAGCATACAGCATGGACGCCGCCCAATTTGATGAGCTTATCAGAAACATGAGCCAGCTTCTGGAGACAGGAGAGGCCAGCGATGACCTAGCATCCCAGATGATCTACCAGCTCGTCGCTGAGTTGGCCAAGGCTCAGCCCACGCCTGTCCAGTGGAGGAGCATCCATGAGAAAGCTGCCCCCGAAGCTCAGCTCAGAGGGCAGACAGGAAGAGTTCCTCAAAGCCCCTCAGTAAAAAACTCTGGCAAGCTGATTTTTAAGCCAAAAGGACCTGTTATCAGGAGGCAAACCCTACCCCCTTCAGTTTCCTTTAACAAGACAATAACTGCAAGTATTGGGAATACAGTCTACATTACAAAAAGCACAAAGGTCATTAATATACTTTGCAATCTTATCACTCCCTGCAGCGAGGCCACGTATACGTGGACTAAGGATGGAGCATTGCTGCAGCCCTCTGTGAAGTGAGTCCACGAAGAGCAGAGCCCTCTTGGTGGCACCTTATTGCTGCCCGTTTTAGTTTTCTTAGAAACATTTTCAAATGTCTTCTCCTAAGAGTGTGCTTCCTCCTATCCTTCTTTATCTGCCTAAAGAAGTTTATTTCTACTTTTGTTTTTTACGTGTGTGTGTGTGTGTGTGTGTGTGTGTGTGTGTGTGTGTGTGTATCTTTAAGTATCTGTACAAAATCTAGGAAATACAAATGAGAAAATACGAGCAGGACATTTGGCTTTCTGAGACTGGCTTAATTCACATATTGCTAAAGAGTGAGAAAGGCCTGTTAAGGAAAAACTCCTGCTCAAGAGAATAGTCATTGGCCTAGGTGGAGACCTCACATTCAAGTATGGCCAGTCAACCACCTGAGCAACAAACTGTCCCTCAGGGAGGAGAGTCAACCCCAGCAGAGCAGGCCCACCTTAAGCCATGCTAAAGTGACAGGCAGAGTAATAATTGCTTATATAAGATACATTACTTTTCCTTCCCAGAATGCCTGTCCTCGAGGACACTTTCTACAAATCACAGTATGACTGCAGCAAAGTTCTGGGTCTGACTCAGAGAGGTGGAACTGTTTTTCTCTTAGCCTGTCTCTGGCCAGAACCTAGCTGCTTCTCCTTCTCCTCCTCCTCTTCCTCCTCATTCTTCTTCTGATGATAGTTTACACTCTTTACTCTCCCTAAAGCCCCCTCTCTACCACATGACTGCATCGTCCACCATGTATCTGACATTTGTGTCTGCTCAGCTTTCTCCTTCTCTCCATCATTCCCATTCCCCTCTTCCTGGCAGCTGCTGATATGTACAGCTTGCCTGCCATTGTTTTTTTGTTTGTTTATTTGTTTCTTTTAAACTCTAATAAGGTCGAAATAGAAGCCAGTAAGTACATCCACATCCCAGCCTGCTGTAAGGGCATTCTAAGGCAAGAGGAAAGCCTTCCCCACTTTTCCAAATACACAGTTTCTTTGTCTATGGAGGGGGCTAGACATGATTACGTTAGGGGCTCCATGCCAGACCAAAGCCTATAGTTGTGCAGTCTCCAGTCTCCATAACCCGCAATGGCCCTACTGCAACCATGTATGTCACGCATGTATATTTTCACTGTGACTCTTTCACAGGGTCACTTTGGATGAAACTGGGAGGATGCGGATACAGAATCCTACAAGAAAAGAGCAAGGGATCTATGAATGCTCCGTGGCCGATCATCTTGGCTCAGATGTGGAAAGCTCATTGGTGCTGTACGCAGGTAATGCCTCTGGGGGAAACCTAGAGCAGTGTCTGGTGGTCTTGTTGTTGCTACTTTGTCCATCACCCAAAATGCTAGAAACTCTAAAACCTGACTGTGTATCACAGTGGTGCAGAAGGCTCGTTTAAGCACAGGTTGCTGGCTGCTGCCTAGAGCGCTGCCTTAGTAGGTTTGGGATGAGTTTGACACTTGACCTTTAAACATGTTCCTAGGTCACAGCAGAGCTCTAGAAACAATGGCTCTGAGGCTTTCTTTCAACAAATTGGGGGTTAATGAGATGGAGCTTAATTGGCAATGCCGGCGTTACAGACTTTTTAAAGTTCCATCAGAGAAGGAATAAGAATCGCTGCTCTTAAAGTTGGCCCTTTCCTCTAAGTGATGTAACTGCCAATCCTTCACCAGCACTGCCCACCTGTGGGCTGTAACTTTGCACCAGCATATACCTTCCCGGGCACTAAACATTGCCATTTTGTGTCAAAATGCATTTTACAGTAGAAGATCATTTTTTAACCGTTTAAGTTGTAGGCAGCAATTCCTTACGGCAAAATCATATTCTGGGACTAGAAATAAACAAGAGAGCCATTCCCTTGCTCTCTGCTCTCTTTTCTTCTCCTCTTTGTGTCACACATGGACCAAGGTGAGAATTCTGACCACCGTCAGTGGTCAGAACCCAGTTTGGCTACCTAGATGCTGGCTGAGCCATGTGGCTGAGCTATGGCTCTTGTCATCCAGAAGCTGAGAAAGTTGGGCCTGTTGGTGTACAAAGGTTCTTTGAGTCTGAACAACCAGAAGCTAGCTGCCTTCCCAGAATCATCAGGCCTTTGTTTTCTCCTGGACTGTTGTGCCCTGTTGTACTTAAAAGAAGTGTTAGCTTCTTTTAAGTAGGCACAGATTCAGGTAGTTCGTATAGTGAACAGGAGACCCTCCTCTCTACCCGTGCACCAAAGTCTGTTCTTCAATTCATCCCCAGATGACCTAGACTTCTGAGAGAGCTGATATGAGCTCCTCATGAGCCAGAGGATGAGCTGTGACAACTGAGGACTCCTTCTGGCCAAAGGGTTCTCACTGTTTCCCCACCTCAGGGTCGTTTTCTACTGGCGTAGGTATTCAAAGAAAGAATGGAACCTTCTGTAGCCCAGGCCTCTTGAGATCAAGAGTGCTTGTGTTATTCTATATTCTCCTTGTCCACCTCACATGAACATGAACATAGATGGACAAAGCATGTGTCCAGACCGAGCTAATTAGTGAGTCCATTAAGTAAGTATCGAATTTCCAGGAATGAAAGTCCTTGACTGAAATCCTGACTCTGTCACTTTGCCTTTGCTCTTTTTTCTGTGCATGTTTTATGTGGCTATTGGTGTCACATTAATAAAAATACCAAGTTCTGACTTCTCCTCCAAACAGTGGGAATGGACTTGAGATAGCCTGACAGGATTTCATAAATGAAGAAGCTCTGCAGTATAGAGAGGTACGAGAGAGGTCTTAAGGAGGTGCCCAGCAGCTTCCCATTTCAATTAAAAAAAAAAACCTTCAATAGTGACAGTTTTACTGTGGATTTGAATTTATTTAGATAGTGTGGGAAGAGGCGTCTCTGGGCCACACACCATGGGTGAACGGCTGTGAGATCACTGAGTACTTCTACTGGGATTCCTACTGAAGCCCAGCAGGGGACAGATAATTGCACATGTACATGGGTAGAAGCGAGTTAACAAGAGGTGTGAGCTGTGCCTTTCCCAGCACAGCTTTGAATGAGCCTTGAACCCAACATTTGTTCCGTAATTAGCAAGTCAGTTCTAATCTGTCTCTGACCCTCAGAGAAAGCAGCATGCGCGGTGTTTTAGGAACTCTACTGTTGTTGAAGTGTCTGGTTGTACCACTTGTGCACTGGCAGACTTTGTGACTGTTACCTACAGAGCAGCTCTGTTCTTGTTGCTACTCAGCAGCAAGCACAGTGTGGTGCTTTGTGCACGTGTTAACTGAGCAGAACCTTGGCTTAGTCTGACCTTAGTGGGAGAGGCCTTGGGGAGCCTTCTCCATCCAGGATAACACCTACCAAGGGCGACAGGATAGATCAGCATTCACTGTCCTCCCTCACATCCCCCCTTCCATGGAGTGGCAGACGGTCACATCGCTGGTGTTTTAGGCCTGCATCAGTTCAGCCGAGGCCACCTGTGACAAAAGCTGTTCTGCCTTGCCGTGACGTTTTGTATCTTGTGAACGGAATCTTTGTTAAATTATCAAGGAGATGTTAACCTTAATTTGGATTATGAGGCTAAAATATCTTTACTATGTATACAGTTGTTGCAATGTGCCTTTGAATGCCTCCATCCATCCATCCATCCATCCATCCATCCATCCATCCATCCATCCTTCACCTATCTGTCATCTCTGCAATGAGCAAATACCTCTAGCTGTGTGTGTGCCTGTCTGTGCAAAGCACCACAGGGGATGTAAAGGCCAGTACTCTTCCCCGATTTCAGTGAATCAGTGATGCTCGTCATTGAACAAGAGCTTAAACCTAACATACTTTCTGCTCCCTTTGACTTAAGAGGCACCTGTCATCTTGTCTATGGAAAGAAATGTCACCAAACCGGAACACAACCATCTGTATGTCACTGTGGGAGGCACTGTGGAGGCAGCCCTTCAAGCAAATGTGACAATCCACTGTCCAGTAAAAGGTAAGTATTATCATTTCCAGTGTGAAGGTTTTCGGCCAACTAACTGCCAGAAGGTGACAGCTAGCATTTTAGCGTTCCATATACCAGCCTGATGGGCACAGCATTGTGATTTCTAGTACACTCACCATATACCTAACTCTCAAAAGTGAACTCATGTCACGGATAGAGAGATGGCTCAGTCAGTAAAGTCTTTGCTCTGCAAGCGTGAGGACCTAAGTTCAGAGCTGAAGCACGCACATTAAAAAAAAAAAAAAGCTGGGGCACAGTAGCATGTGTCTGTGTCTATAGCCTCAGGTCTGGGGGAGTGCTGGGGGATAGGATACAGAGACAGGTAGATTCCTAGAATTTGCTGGCCAGTTGGTTAGGTAGGTAGCCAGTGAGAGACCCTGCCTCAAAAGATAAGGTGAGGAGTGATTGAAGAAAGCACCCAGACTTCCACATGTATAAGCACCTGCACACACACACATGAACACACTAGCATGTTCTCTCTCTCTCTCTCTCTCTCTCTCTCTCTCTCTCTCTCTCACACACACACACACACACACACAGGCAGAGAAAGAGAGAGATAGTCTGAGAAACAAGATTTTTAGATATGTCTTCCTGGTACACAAAGGCTCTACTGGGCAAAGCCAGGTTAGGACTAAGAATGTCGGTATCTTTCTACTCAGACGTCGTCCCCACTGTCCTTGAGGGACCTCAGCAGCCTGTGTGTCAGTGGCTTTTCCTGCTGTGTTTACTAATGCAGGCACACCTCCTTTATACAAGACTATTTGCAGTGCTAGGCATGGACCCTTGGGCCTTGCTCATGCAAGGCAAGTGTTGTACCATTGAGTCCCACCCACAGCCCAATAGACCCATTCTTTCACTAATAGAACTAAAATTTTCAGCCCGGGTCTGCCTGAACTAGGGCTGTTTTTCCACTCTAAGCCAGACATCCCTAAGTTTTAACCTGGATTCTTGAGCCCCCAGAATATAGGCAAACAATATATTCTTCACACTTCTCTAAGTGTAAAAGGGGCAGGTTGTTGTGTGAGTAGCTTTAGATCACTTCCTTAAAGTGACATAAATACTGAATTGAGACCTAATGTTTCAAAATGAACTTTCTATATGCCCTTAATTTATGTATGTGCATTGACTTAGTTGTCTGAACAGTTTTATCACCCAGTTTCCAACGGTTGTTAAGACATCCCTGTATTAGCAGCCATCTTTGATGTTCTCTGATGACTCGGGGAGCCTAGATGTGTAACTTTGACTCTTTGGCTGGGGAGTTGTGGAGAAGTGTTTACTAATCCCATATAGGACACCAAACACACACACACACAAACACACACACAAGATTTAATTCAAATCTAGTGTGAGTTTCAACCATTGAGTTTATTGGGGTGACTTAAAGAAGCATGGAAAACTCAAGCAGTTACTTCACCCCAAAACCCATCCCAGCATGGCTGACCACTCACTGAAGCTATGGCCCAGGAGCTCTCTTCACAATGTGTAGGCAAAGAGTCCCCGCTACTCTAGCACCTGCTTCCTGCTTCCATGACCTTGGTGGGGGGGGACTTTGCTTCTTTTAATCTTCTGAGTGCCCAAGGTGTTGTAGGCTTGGTTAACTTCCTCTTCTCTGCCAGAGAATTCAGGAAAACCAGTTACACTATGCAGTGTGTCTGCAGGGGCCCCTGAGGCTGCCCAGGAGCATGATGGGTGTTGCAAAAGGACACAGTCACACTCATCCAGCTCCCTTCTCTCCCTTCCCCATGATGGTCTCCTACTTGCCCTACTTCTAAAGGCATATCTTTGGCTCATGCACACTGGAAATTTGCTAATCCCCGAGCTATTAGTTTTCAACTCCTGGCAGTCTTTGCAGTGTTTGGCCCATGCAGACTTTTGACAGCTCTCCCAGCCTCCCGACTGGCTCCACCTACAAATATGGGAATTTTTCTGGCAACATGGACCTACCATTACAGAACAGGCCAGCATTCTCTAGCCAGGGCAAGGAGAAAAGCAGACCAAAACTGTTCCGATGCCAAGCCATAGACTTCTCCAATCTCTGTAGCCCTCCACCTGCAGAGGAGTCTGAAAAATAGACGTGACTTCTATTAAGAGAAACCTCAACATTTTGTGTTTCTTTTTAAATTTTATCTTCCCAAAATCAAATTGCAGGGTGGGGGGAGAGAAGGGGCCATCAAAAGGCTTGTGGCCTGTTCTTTGCTCTCCTAAGTCAGGGACTAGATGCGGTGGAAACTGTTTTCACACACACGAAAAGTCTCCGTAAAAGACCGTTAAACACAGCTCAGGTCTGGTCTTTTATCCACTCAGGCAAAATATGAGTTGTCTAAACTTCTCCCAACTTTGGTGGACTCTCCTGCCCTGAACTATTATACTGCTGGTCTTCCTCCTCCTCCTTTGCCTCCTCCTTCTTTCCTTCCTCCTCCTCTCCAATGAAGCTCAGAGTTGGGAGTGTTCGCCTTTCCCCACCATTTACTTTTTCTAGAAATAGTCCCTTTGGTCTTTAGTGCCTGGCAGCACTCTGCTTTGGACACAGACAGCAGACACTCCTCAGGGGCCCTTTCCTTCTCACAGGGAGCCTGCCCCTAGAGCTACCACAATCACATTGCGTTACATGCCATTTTAGACAAACTTGTGGTGAAGTTAGTGTTTCCTCATGAACAGAAGCTACAGCCAGCTTAGCTTTCTATGGGAAGGCATCTTTTTAAAGGCAGGTAGGTGAAGCTCATAAAAAGTCAGAAAATGCGGGTTGACAGATAGTTCTGTAACTAGAGAGAATCCAACCAAGGGGTAGCCTGGTCTACAAAGTGAGTCCAGGACAGCCAAGGCTACCCAGAGATACCTTGTCTCAAAAAATAGATAGATAGATAGATAGATAGATAGATAGATAGATAGATAGATAGA